CCCTCCTCTCCCATCCCCTTATTTCTCCTCCTCATCCCTCCATCCTCTCATCTTCTTTCCTCTCCCCTCCATCCCACCCTTCTCTCCCTCCATCCTCTCATCTTCTTTCCTTACCTCCTCTCCCTCCATCCTCTCCCTCCACCCTCTCATCTTCTTTCCTCTCCCCTCCATCCCACCCTCCTCTCCCTCCATCCTCTCATCTTCTTTCCTCACCTCCTCTCCCTCCATCCCTCCTCTCCCTCCATCCTCTCATCTTCTTTCCTCTCCCCTCCATCCCACCCTCCTCTCATCTTCTTTCCTCTCCTCCTCTCCCCTCCATCCCTCCCACCTCTCCTCTCATCTTCTTGCCTCTCCCTCCATCCCTCCAGCCTCCATCCCTCCACTCCCCTCCCCTCCTTCTCTCCCTGCATCCCTCCCCCCTCTCGCCGCCCCGCCCCCGCAGCATCCGGCTCCCCGGCGGTGGGCGGGGCCGAGGTGCCGGACCCCGCCCCCGGGCAGTGACTGCGCCTCGGCTCGGGCCTCCTCCCTCCCTCCCTGTCCGCTGCCGGCGGCCGCTCGCTCGCTCTCCCCGCGCCGCTGCCCGAGAGCCATGGCGGACCAGCCCGCAGAGCCGGCCCCGGCCCCGGCGCCCCCGCCCCCGCCGGCGGCTCGCAGCGCCTGCTCTTCTCTCACGACCTGGTGTCGGGCCGCTACCGGGGCTCGGTGCGCTTCGGCCTGGTGCGCCTCATCCACGGCGAGGACTCCGACTCGGAGGAGGACGAGGGCGGCCGCGGCGCCGGGGCCGGCAGCTCGGGGGGCTCGGAGTGCGGGGGCCCCGGGGCCGGCGGGGCCGAGGAGAGCCGGGCCAGCCCCCTGCGCCGCGGCTACGTGCGGGTCCAGTGGTACCCGGAGGGCATCAAGCAGCACGTCAAGGAGACCAAGGTGAGCGGCTCATCTGCATCTCATTTGCATGCGCGAGGGGCCGCCGGGCTCGGCCGCGCCCACCCGGGCTCGCCCCCCGCGTGGAAACGGTGCAGCCCCGGGCCTGGCAGCTGCACCCCGCGCCTTGGTGCTCTGCCACCCTGCAGCCGCGATCCGCCAGCCCCGCTCGGGAATCCCCGGACCTCTGCACTGGCTTCCCGGGGCTGCCGCTCCTCGCGATCATCGCCCCTAACCATGGAGCGCCTCAGTCATGTGCGCCCCCTGCCCCGCATGCAGCCGCTCATGCGGGGGTGCTGAGAGCCATTGAGCCAAACTGCAAATCCTGTATAGGATGGAAACCCCTGCAAGCCAGCACCTGCTGCAGCACCCCTAGTTCCAGCACCTATGCGCTCATGACATTTGGCATAATTGCATAGCATACTCTGCTCAGGGACATGGGTTGTAACAACAAAGGGATTGTGACTTCCTAGGGGCAGGGGCTTTATCCACCAATTGCCATGCTAGCCTGTGGGGTTATGCACAAAGATGCCAAAGGCACAGCTGTCTCTTAATGGGAAAACGTATCTTGCAATTATTCCTAATCTCAAGAGGCACTTTAGTATGGGATTGATTATTCCTTATTACTATAATCTGTTCTCTCTTGTTGGACATTTCATTGGCCTCTTATGTATGCTAATTTTGTTGGGGTTGAAATATATTTCCCTTCTTTCAGGAGGCTTTAAAGGCAGTAATTAAATCTCCTTGCCTCTCTAACCTGGAGAGGCTACAGCTCTTATCTGCATAGAGGAGATCAAAATGTAGCTTGTTTCATTTGGATTTTGGTTTAAATTTAAAATAATCCTAAAAAGTCCAGGAAACTGGTAAAGGCCATTGCCTGTGAAGGTGAATTAAACAGTGCCTGGTAATAGATTCTCTCTTCTTTGGGGAGAAGTGGGTGCACTATGTATTTTTTTAAAACCTCAACATAGGGGAGTTAACTGCTAAGTACAATAGCTTTGGACAGTTAAAGATTTCAGTGTGACATAGTGGTGTACAGATATGAAGTAGATTCATGGATTTGCACTTTTTTTCTGAATGATTATTCCTATCAGTCTTGCACATGTTAATTTGTGACCTTTCATTGTTGTTCAAAGGCTGCAAGGTGTGAGTGTTTGAGGTCTGGTTTAGAGTACTCCCACTTCCCAAAGTTAGTCTAGAGCTGGGTTATACGCACAGTGACTGACAATACTTGGGAGACAAAAGAGAGAGGGGGCACTCTAACATAATACAAAGGGGCCTGGGATGAATGGGTGTCACACAGAACAGAAGGCCTGTGCTATCATCGAAACAGAAAGAGGCTGCATGCTATTTTATGGTGGTAAGTGAAGATATGAGTTTCTTAGCACAATCTTTTACCCGCCTCCTCAAAAATCATGCAACAGAAGTCTGTTGAAGAAAGCAATGCATTTGTAATTCTAGTAGAAATTGGTAGGATCACACAACACTAATAAGTAGAGCTAAATGTAGATTGTATTGTCACTAGGCATGTTGAATCTTGTTTAAAATGTATGAAAAATGAATAAGGTATATCCACAATATCTCTTTAATAAAATAATAATACAAAAAAAGCAACAACAAAAAATCCCAAACCCTCATTTTGGATTTGTGGTCCTTAAGTGAGAATGATTGCTTTTCAAATAAAATCTTCGGCCAAAATTTTTAAATTCGGTGCCTAAAGTTAACCTTTCAAATTCATTTGGAAACGCCTTAAATCAGGGCTCTTGGAATGTGTAAATATGGATTTAGGAGTCTAACATTAAGCTCTCAGATTTCAAAATGTTAGCCTTGTTATATTTATATCACATTGCAATATGGAAAACACAGAAGTCCTGAAAGGAACAGAAGTCAAAGGAGACCACTTAAATGAGTAGCTCCTTTCCTTTCCCTTTTATAGTCATGTAGCTTCAGTGGGGGTGTAAGACTATACAGGTAATATGCAGAAGTGCCCAGATTGTCCTATTGACTTTCCATTTGAAAATCTGCCCCAATGACAAAATTGATGGGAACGTCAGGTACAAGATGGACTGCAATTTAATTTTGGTTAAAAACAGTATCTTACATAAACCTGAGACCAATAGAAGTATAGCCATGAAATTAATTTTTTTTTTTTTGCTATAAACCTTTTTTTAAATAATCTTCCCAGTATTTCTTCTAACTCAAACATTGCACTGTTAATAGGTGAGAACCGAAATGTTAAACTGACACATCAACTCTTCGTTGTCTAAGCTAAGAGAGATGCAAAATGTAAATGCCACATAATTGTTGTTGGGAGGAGAACATTAATTGCCATTTTAATAGTTGATGATGTTAGTAACCAACTGTAGGCAAGGGTATCTAATTTTTAATATAACGAGTCTGACTCTTGCAAAGGTACCTCTAGCTGTGAGATTGTAAATTTCACTTTCTTTGAAAGAATTTGACTTGATTACCTAAAGTCTGATAACATTAAATCATGGATTTGAGATTAAAATTCTTCTCCACTCTCCTCCCAGTTCTTTTGAAAGCCTACTTTTCTTACTGTTAGTCAGTTTTGCAATGGAGACAGACTAGAGATAGTCTCAAGGCTTAGAGTCAGCAGACTGGAGTCTTTATTCCAACTCTGCCATTGACCACTTATGACCATGAGCAAGTCACTTGGGGGATGTCTGCATGGAGTAGCCGTGAGCACTAGGGAGTTGTTTGAAACAGCACTACGTAAAAGTGCACTAGGGAACTTTTAACAGGCAGTAGCAGGGTCTGAATGGTTGGATTAATGCACAGTGTATTAGTGTGCTTGAGAAATCATGCTCCCATAGTGCATTACCCTAGCATGTAGAATTGCTTTTGGTTTATGCCTCAGTGTCCTTATGTGGAAATGTGGACACTCCTCTACCTCACACAGATGTTGTGAGGTTTAATTCATTGATGTGTGTAAAGCACTTTAAGATCTTTAGATAGGAGCTCTTTCAGTGTAAAATAATATTACTGGCAAGTGCACGTATTTAGCACCAGAGAGGGCAGAAATCCAGAAAAGGCTCTTGTAGCAATATATAAGGATAGCTGAAAATAAATAACCACTAACTTCTTATGCAAATATGGAAAGTTGCAATGCTGTTCTCTAAACTACATAACCAGGCAACCTGAATTAGAAGCCTACCACCATTCCTAATTTGTTAGGGAATAGACAGTGATAACAAACTAATATTTTCCATTCCTGATCCTAGCTAGGTTGGCTTTCCTGTGCTTACATTTTGTGGCAGTAAATGTTGCAGACCAGTGTTTGCTTGGATTTAAATGATTGCCTGCATTAATACCTCTTTAGTAAAATTTAGTAAAATTATCCTCTTACAACAGAATATGAATTTAAGACCTATGGTAACGGATGAAGACCCTTTGGCCTCACCATTGGAACAAGTACATTAAGCTCGCTTATTACTTATTTGATTCCTAAATATGGTTATTTTCCTAAATTGGTTTCATGAGTAGTATCAGTAGCAAGGTTCTTCTCTGGTGGCATAGACTCTGGCATTCACACCAGATTTTTATATTTTACCTCTTCATGCTCCCTTTAAGTCTGCCTTCCTGTCCTCTGCACGTAATCTCAGGCACTGAAACAATTTAAAAATCTTCGTTGCTGAATAGCCAAAAAATCTTCTGTGTTGGGAGTGTGCATCTTATCTGTGTCCTGGCTTATCCTCAACCCCTTCTTAAAATCATGTAGCAAAACTTGAATTGCCCTCCTTGCTGATTTAAGCTGCACACGCACTGTCTTCACATTGAACATAATGCTTGCTCTGTGTACATTATATTTAATTTGCCATCCTAAAGAGAGAGAGCCATTGCTGACTGGCATCAGTGTCTGAAAGTTGCAGCAGCCATTTTCCTAGCAAAGTAATCACAAACATTTTGAACCCAGTCTAACTTTCATTTCAAGAGTTTCTCCCCCAATATGAACATAAGAACATACGAATGGCCCTACTGGGTCAGACAAAGGGTCCATCTAGCCCAGTATCCTGTCTTCCGACAGTAGCCAGCACCAGGTGCCCCAGCGGGAATGAACAGAACAGGTAATGATCAAGTGATCCATGCCCTGTCACCCATTCCCAGCTTCTGGCAAACAGAGGCTAGGGACACTATTCCTGCCCATCCTGGCTAATAGCCATTGATGGACCTATCCTCTATGAATTTATCTAGTTCTTTTTTGAACCCTGTTATGGTCTTGGCCTTCACCTCATCCTCTGGCAAGGAGTTCCACAGGTTGACTGTGCGTTGTGTGAAGAAATACTTCCTTTTATTTGTTTTAAAGCTGCTGCCTATTAATTTCATTTTGTGATTCCCTACTTCTTGTGTTATGAGAAGTGATAAACAACACTTGCTTATTTACTTTCTCTATAGCTGTCATGATTTTATAGACCTCAATCATATCTCCCCTAGCAGTCTCTTTTCCAAGGTGAAAAGTCTTTCTGGAGTGGTAACCGCTAATTTAGACCCCATCATTTTATATGCATAGTTGGGATTATACTTTCCAATGTGCATTACTTTGCATTTATCAACATTGAATTTCATCTGCCATTTTGTTGCCCAGTCACCCAGTTTTGAGAGATCCTTTTGTATGCATTTAGGAAAGGTAGTGAGCGAAAATGCATAAGTGTATTTAATGTTAATAAGTACTTTGTGATCCATTTAAAAATACTTTCCCCTTCTCTTATCATTTTTTAACCCAGAATCTCAAAGCTCTTTTCACCCTCTGATCTTCACAAAGCCTGGTATTCCTGTTTTCTAGATGGGGAAAATGCGGCTGAGTTCACAGGAGGTCTGATCTCCTGATTTCCAGTTCTATGCTCTAATCACTAGACAATGCCTACTCCACAGTAGTAAAAGAGGCATACAACTGTCTTACCGCATCTACCTTCATGCCAAGGGAGATGGGTTAGTGCTGTTCTAGATTTTTTTTTCCCCCCTCAAGTGACAAATAATAGTGC